CTGAGTAGCTGGGATTACAGGCACACGCCACCATGCCCAGCTAATTTTTTGTATTTTTAGTAGAGACGGGGTTTCACCATGTTGACCAGGATAGTTTCGATCTCTTGACCTCGTGATCCACCCACCTCGACCTCCCAAAGTGCTGGGATTACAGGCGTGAGCCAGACAGTGATCACTTTCTAACAAACCATTAATACATACAGTCATGAATCATCTAACAACAGAGACGTGCTCTGAGAAATGTGTCATTAGACAATTTCGTCATTGTGCAAATATAAGGGTGTACTTACACAAATGTGGATGGTATAGCCTACCACCCACACATGCTATATAGTATAGCCTACTGCTCCTAGGTTACAAACCTATATGGCATGTTACTGTACTGAATACTGTAGACAACTGCAATACAAAGGTAAGCATTTGTATATCTAAACATACCTAAACACAGGAAAGAAATGCTAAAAATACAGTATAAAAGATAAAAAATGGTACAAGGGTAAAGGATACTTACCATGAATGAAGCTTGCAGGACTGGAAGTTGCTCTGAGTGAGTGTGTGGCGTGTGAATGCAAAGGCCTAGGGCATTACTGTACACTAGCGTAGACTTTATAAACACTGTACACTTAGACTACACTCAATTTATAAAAATTATTTTTATTTCTTCAAACTGTTCAATTAGCCTTAGCTTACTGTAACTTTTTTACTTTATAAGCTTTTCAATTTTTAAAAACTTTTTGACTCTTGTAATAGCACATAGCTTAAAATGCACTGTACAGCTGTACAAAAGTATTTTCTTTCTTTATGTCCTTAGTTTATAAGCTATCTTAAAACATTTTTTTTAAACTTTTTAAACTTTCTTGTTAAAAACTAAGACAAAAACACACATTAGCCTAGGCCTACACAGTGTCCAGGATGGTATCACTGTCTTTCGCCTCCACATCTGGCCCCACTGGAAGATCGTCAGGGACAATAACACACACAAAGCTGTCACATCCTATGACAACAACGCCTTCCTCTGGTATACCTCCTGAAGGACCTGAGGCTGTTTTAGTTTTTTTTTTTTTTTTTTTAATAAATAGGCATATGCTCCAAAGGAATGATAAAAAGTATTGTACAGTTGGTACATAAACCAGTAACATATTTATTATGATTACAAGCCTTATGTACTGTACATAATTTTATCTGTTATACTTTTATATAACTGGCAGCAGAATAGGTTTGTTTACACCAGCATCACTGCAAACACATGAGTAATGGTATTGTGCTACAATGTTATATTGGCTAGAAAGTCACTAGGTGACAGGAATTTTTCAGCTCCAATATAATCTTACAGTGGGGGTCCTCAACCCCACAACGTACTGGTACCAGTCTGTGGCCTGTTAGGAACCAGGCCACACAGCAGGAAGTGAGCAGCAGGTGAGCAAGCATTACCACCTGAGCTCCACCTCCTATCACATCAGGGTTCAGATTAGAAACTTAGGAGTGTGAACACTCTTTTGAACTGTGCACGTGAGGGATATAGATTGCTCGCTCCTTATGAGAATCCAATGCCTGATGATTTGAGGTGCAACAGTTTCATCCTGAAACCATAACCCTGCCATCCCCTGGTCCATGGAAAAATTGTCTTCCACAAAACCAGTCGCTGTGCCAAAAAGGCTGGGGACCATTGTCTTATAGGACCACTGTCATATATATATATAGTCCATACATATATGGCACATGACTATAATTTAGGTATATATACTGTCCATCCACCCCCACAATATAAATTCCATGAAAACAAGGACTTATTTTTGTCTGTTTTTGATATTGATAGTAGGTGCTCAAAACATATACTGATAAAATGGTTCAGCCATTATCAAAAACACTATGACAATCAAAAATTAAAAACAGACATTAATGCATGTGTATGTATGCATGTGTATGTGTGTGTATATACATACATATATATAAAATTCAAAGTGGGGACTCAGATAGTTGTGTACTCATGTTTCTAACGGTGTCACTTACAATTGCCAAAAGGCAGAAGCAGCCCAAGTGTTCAATGATGAATAAACTGATAAATAAAATGTTTATCCATATATGACATACTTATTATCTGGCCTTAAAAAGACAGGAAATTCCTATACATGCTAACATGGATGAATCTTGAGGACATTACACTAAGTTAAAGAAGGGTCACAAAAGGACAAACAACATATGATTCTGCTTACATGAGGTACCTAGAATAATCAAATTCAGAGACAGAAAGTAGAATGGTAGATGCCAGAGGCGGGGGGAAGGGGAGTAGAGAGTTATTGTTTGATAGGTGCTGGGTTTCTGTTTTCAAGAAGAGTTCTGTGGATGGATCGTGGTGATGGTACCAGAACAATGTGAATGTACTTCATGCCACTGAACTGTACACTTAAATATGGTTTAGATGGTAAATTCTATGTCCTATATTTTACTACAATTAAATAGATCTATGTATACAGTTGGCCTTCCTTATCCACAGGTTCTGCATCCTCAGATTCAATCAACCTCAGATAAAAAATATAGCTGGGCCTACAATAGTTGTGTCTGCACTGAACATGTATAGATTTTTTCTTATTATTCCCTAAACAATACAGTGTAACAGCGATTTACATAGCATTTACATTGTATTAGGTATTACAAATAATCCAGAGTTGATTTAATGTATACAAAAGGATGTAGGGACTTAAGCATCTATGGATTCTGGTATCCATGGTGGAGAGGGGGATCCTGAAACCAATCCCTCCCAGATACGAACAGTATATAGAATAAATGAGCTACTACTACTAACTTGGGGATTTAAAACTAGAAGAAAGTAATATATCAGACAAGAATAACACAGAAATTGGTGGATAGTTTGGAGTTCGAGTATTTTAAGATCTTATTTAAGGTTAAGTCTGCATATTAAAAATAAAAGGATATTAGCAGAAACAAAACTAGGGGAGAAAAAGGGATAAGGTGAATTTGCACAATAAAAATATATATGTGCAACTATTATATATCAATCACAAAATGTTTAAGGCATAATAAATAGGAAATAAAACATTTTTTATCAGCAAATCATGATAAATGCCACTGAATTATACTCACCTATTAAAATAACAGTCCAACAAAAGTAACGGATGTAAGCCCAGCAATACGCTCTTTACAAAAAACAGATCTGAAACATAAAGACACAAAGGGGTTAGAAAATAAAATTCTTGACAAATACAATAAAACCTGAAAAGCAATATTATCAGACAAAAGAGAACCGGGATTAAAAGGCATTCACCAGGATAAAGAGGCATGTTTCTTAAGGAGGTAGATTGGAATTTTAGTGCAATTCGTCACCCCCTCACCCCCTCATACTCTTTGCAGTGTAACTTTGTCCTCCAACTGTGGGCATAATTTAATAAGCTTAATCATGTGACTTGTTCCGGTTAAGGCCATCTCTCTTGTACTCTGGTGACCCATCATGAGCAGAAAATGCCCTGGCAGCAAATGTCCTTTTGGCCTGAGACCCAGAAAGAACACCTGTGGAGCAGATCTTAATTCGTCGGGCAGCCCACACACTCAGCCAAGCCCTGCCTAGATCAGCTGCACACAGCGATTGTGCAAGCCTGTGAACATGAGAATAAGGACTTGCTGTTGTATGGCATTGAGTTTAGGGGTGGTTTTTAGACATAGTTACTATCATGGCAATAGCTAACTAATACACATAAAAGCAGCAAGTCATAAGATGATAATGAACCTGAAAAGTTTACCAAGGAAAACTGGAAAACTACAAAGGGCCAAGGACTGTTAAGGTAAAAAAAAAGGCAGCAAAGGAGACTACAGAGGAGTGGACGACAGGGAGGGAGAAAGAGTAGAAAACAAGTGTTTTTCAAGCCATTACCAACTATGTTAAACGCTACAGAGAAGCAACTCAAGACAAGAACTACTAGACATTAAAATCACGCACACTTCGCCACGCTCACACTCACCACAGCCTTAATCACAATCACACACATCACACATTTCATCATATTCACGCGCAACCAAACATCACAATCACCCATCACAATTATTCGTGCCGTCACACTCAAACATACAACCACAACCCCACACTAACTCTCATCACAGTTTTTTGTCCCAACATCTGAACCACTCACCAGGAGCGTACTCTGAGCACTCCCCCTGCGGCTACTCGGGACACTCTGGGCCTAAGAGGCGCCGTGTCCCGTCAGCCGCCCACGGCTGGTGCAGTCCAGACCGTTTGAGTCCCCCGCTCGCCCCGCGCTGCGGGGACTCGGCAGCGTCGTCTGCCGGAAACGCCCGAATGCCCAGCCAGCGCGCAGTTGCTGAGATGCTGGTTGAAGGCGACCCACAGACAAGTCCGAACAGAAGCCTACAACTCCGAACCATCCCTTCGCGCCCGTGACATTTCTGAGGACAACACCTCCCAGCAGGCCCCGCGGCCTCACTCAACTTCCGTCCAGAACGCACGTGCGCTTCCTGTGTGAAGGTGAGGCGTGGGCCAGGTTCCCCGGAAGACTCAGCTCCATTGCGCAGCGCTACGGCGACCTGCAACTCTGGAACTCGGCTGGATGCTGAGAGTTGCAGGAGCAGCCGTTTCGGGTGGGCCCAGGCGAGGGGCAGACAGGAATCGGCGTGGGTCCCGCGCTGGACTACATTTCCCAGAGGGCCTGGTGGCCGTTCACTTTTCTCGCAGAAATTCGAACGTTTCGTCACGCCTGGCGGGACCCTTAGATCTTGGAGGTGGTATATTTTGGTCCGCGAGAGAAGCTGGCTCAGGTCTGCAAGAGCTTAGGTGAGGATACCGAAAGCCAATGGGGAGCTGGCGCCTTGGTCCTGTGCGGACCGAGCGACCTGAAAAAGGGAGGTTGTGGAATTGTCTGGGAACTAATGACACTGCGGCTTATGTGGGGATATGGGATACCGGTCACTGCAGGGGTTGTGGCTGTGACTCTGCGACAGTGTGGGGTGCCTCCAACTGTGCAGCTGTTATTGTGTGTTTCCCATGGTGTGTATGTAATTGTAATTGTGTTGCCACGTGTGGCTCCGTGTGTGCTGGTGAGAAGTGCGTGTCGCCTTAAGTATGACTGTCCCTAAATGTATGTGGCATTCTGTGTATGAATATAGGGTCCTGTCAACTGTGCGATTGTGACTTCAGAACTCTGTCTCTAGGAAACCTTTTTTGAGGTCTGATCAGATTCCAACCCTGGACAGCAGTGAACAGAGCCTTTCCCCTGAGCCACTGGAATAGGACAGGTTGCCCCACTCTCCTCTGATCTCCATTCCTCGTGTGTCATGGGTGATGGAGCTGGGGAGGACGTCTTCCTTGACTAATCTGGGTACCAAGAAAAACCTGTTGTCTCACAGTTACTCTTTACTATCCCAATTTTACCTTTCTCCAGGTGAGTCACCCAGAAGAGGAGGAAAGAATGCATGATGAACTTCTACAAACAGTATCCAAGGTGTGTTATGGTCTCCTCTTTTTCTTCTGAAAATTCTTGCTTAATAAAGAAATGACATTTAATTATAAGTCCCTATTATTTTCCCATCACAGAAAAGGATGGTTGTGCCACTTATGCTTGCTGAATTTTCTTCTCAAATATTTATTATGGTTTAAAAATAAAAGGATGATTAATTTTGAGATCTTAAAAACACAGCATTACCAAGAAAAAATAAAATTTGGCCATTTAAATAATTAGTGTTAATATTTTAATGTATTTTCAAAAACCAAATTTTACTTAATTTACTTACCATTTTATGTTCTACATTTTTACTAAAAACGTGTCATAAATATTCTGCGATGTCTTCAAATGGTCTTGGGAAATACATTTTTCTATGTTTGAAAAAATTATGGTGCATACTTTTTTTCAAATCAGACGTGCCAGACTTTTAAATCCTTATTTAAATATATATCTGTCCTCACAACCCCCACCCCCACAGGTTTGAATTTGGGTTTCCATGATTAATAATAAAATTGAACATATTCCATACGTTTATCAGTTTTTAGCGTTTCATCTTTAGTGACATATTCGTTCAAATCTTCACTCACATTTCTCTTAGAATAGCTCTTACTGATTCATACGAGTTATTTATGTAATCTGGGTCTCAGTCCTTTATTGATTATGTTTTCCTACTATTTGGACTGTTTCATCACTTCCTGTAAGATGATTTTATGATAAGTTCTATTTTTTAAAAGCTGAGGTTATCAATATTTTTTCCTTTATGGTTAGCGCTTTTTGTATCTTATTTAATAAATCCTTCCCTGTCCCAAGGTCATGCAGATACTCTCTTATATTTATGCTTAAAGTATAAGTTTCACTTTCATGTTTAGATATTTAATATACTTGCAACTGGTTTTTGTGTATGTTATGAGGTAGGGGTCAGATTCTCCCCCTCCTTATTAGTACCCAGTTTTTTCAGTACCATATATTGGAAGATCCATTGTATTTTCATTGGTCGTCAAATATACCTAGTGTCTATATGTGCATGGGTATATTTATGAATTCTTTATTCTCTTCCATTGATTTTATATATTCCTATGCCAGTATCATACAGTCTTGATTTAGCTCTTCTCCTTTGATGGTAATGTCTTGTCTTCCTCTGACCGTTCTGTTTTTGGCTTTCTGTAATTTTAGCATAAGATATATATATGTGTGGCCGGGCGCGGTGGCTCAAGCCTGTAATCCCAGCACTTTGGGAGGCCGAGGCGGGTGGATCACGAGGTCAAGAGATCGAGACCATCCTGGTCAACACGGTGAAACCCCGTCTCTACTAAAAATACAAAACATTAGCTGGGCATGGTGGCGCGTGCCTGTAATCCCAGCTACTCAGGAAGCTGAGGCAGGAGAATTGCCTGAACCCAGGAGGCAGAGGTTGCGGTGAGCCGAGATCGTGCCATTGCACTCCAGCCTGGGTAACGAGAGCGACACTCCATCCCAAAAAAAAAAAAAAAAAAGATATATATATATATGTGTTTTATTTATCTGCTTGGGATTTGTAGAGTTTTAAAATTTATGGATGAATATCTATTATTAGTTCAGGAAAATCTTTGCTCATTATCCCTTTAAAAAGCCCCCACTATCACTCTCTCTCCCTTTCCTTCTCAGGTTCTAACTAAACATTTATAGGTTAGAATTTCTTGTTCTTTTCTGTGTCTTATCCCTTTATGATAAAAAAGAACCTTGCCTCATCTCAGGAGGGGCAGTGGGCATGGCAGGCAACTAGAATTTTTGGATTCTTCCTCCAAGTGATAATAAAAATACCTTTATTCAATTGTGTTTCAACACTTTTAATCTTGGGGAACTCATTAAATTATAAGGTTATCCATTTACTAGATGGTCTCTTCATCTGAAAATTAGAGGATACATATTAGGATAGAGGACTCAGAATAGGGACAGTGTTTTCTAAAGGTGTAAATTTGGAACTCTGAATGGGCCTACTCTCAATTTTTAAACTGTATGTGTTTGGTACAGATACAAAGAAAATTAGGATAAGAATAAATCTAACAAACTTATTTTGTGTAAGGCCTTTCTATCTGAATTTCTTTTAAAGAGGACTGAGTCTTCCCTCTCCCGTACCAAAGCCCAGATAGAAAATCTGGTTCCCCTCTCCCTTCAGTCTCTAGTTACACTCATCATTTTTATAGGGAAGATTGTTGCCCAATATTAATGGGAATAACTAGAGATGTGTGGTATACTGTCGTAGACAATAAAATTTAAAAGGAATATATTTTGTTTTCATAAGTTAACCTAATATTTAATAGGGAAATATTTGAAACATGAAAATATTTGAAAATCAGAAGTAAAACAAAGATACCACATTACTGATGTCATTTAACATTGTTTTAGAGATATTAACCAAAACACTTACATAAGAAAAAAATTAGGTTAAAAATTACAAAAGAGAGCATAAGATTATCACTTTATAGATGATATGACTGTGTACCTGATAAACCAAATCTGCTTATAATCAGCATTTTGAAATAAGCAGGATTCCATATGAAGCAAGCAAAAGAAAATTTTTTTCCCTCATAATTTCTACTCTCAACCCTCTCTGTGGGTTAACTGTTTTGTTGCCCTGGATAAAAACTTGTACAGACTATAATTTTTTGATCACTCTTTGATATCCTTTGATTGTTTTCAGTCACAATCTCAGTCTCATTTTACTAATTACAACCTCTGGTTCAGTGTAATAATATGTGAGTTTCATTTAAAGTTTCTTCTGTGAGCTCAGGCTTGCTTCAAGCTTGCAGTATGAAAGAGAGACATATTAAGCTTCTTGATTTCCTCGCTCTGAGCCTCTATTTCTCCTGCCTAATAGTTTCTGGATCCTATGAGATTAGAATAGGGATAGGGAAGAGGAGGTAAGGAAAAGAAAAGTCTTTCTTGACTTGTTTTGGTGTTGGTCTCCTTTGCCTTGATGGATGTTCAACACTCCTTTATGAGGGTTGAACCCCATTAGGGTTTCTCAGAGAAGCTCTTGTTGGAAACCTCTAATTGCATTTCCTGGGATATGTGCAGCGTGTCTCCTTGAAATGGCTACTTATGATATCTGTCACACATTTTTGCATTCTTGATCCCTTCCTTTGTTGAAGTCACTTTGTCCCTTTATGGGGTCCACATATAGTCCAAAGGGGGGAATAGGTACCAGTCTTTGTGCCCCCTAAGCTCCAGAGAACATAGCAAAAATTATTCCAAAGTATGTCATCATTCCACTTTGTACCCTGGAGCCTGCTTGTCCTAAGGTGAAGGATAGGTACCCTCATTTCTCCTATCCATTGGGAATGTGTGTCCTTTTTTAAACAACCAATTCTTGAGACACTACCTGAGTATCCTACAATTCAGTTAAATTCGGACACTACCTAGAGTTAACACAGACACCATTGGTTAGGAGCCTCAGTCCCAGCTGGTCGTGCCTATAATCCCAGGACTTTGGGAAGAGATGGGCAGATCAACTGAGGTCAGGAGTTCAAGATCAACCTGACCTGCATGGTGAAACCCTGTCTGTACTAAAAATATAAAAATTAGCTGGGGGTTGTGACCAGCACTTCTAATCACAGCTCTGAGGCAGGTGAATTGCTTGAACCTGGGAGGTGGAGGTTGCGGTGAGCTGAGAGTGTGCCACTGCACTCCAGCCTGGGCGACAAGAGTGAAACTCCATCTCAAAAAAAAAAAAAAAAAACCAAAAATTCAAGAAATGTTAAAAGACCTGAAAAATGGCAGGGCATTATTCTACTATCCAATCCTACTCCCCTTAAATGGCTACTTTAAACTCTTTTTGCTGTTTCTCTTGGCATTTTTCCTATATTTCTAATTAATATTTCTATATTGCTATTTTTGGATGCATATTTTCTAGTGATTTTTAGGCGGGCAAATATGGATTGAGATTTCCCATACCACGGTCCTCATTTTTTGTCCATGCAATAGAATTATATGACAATTTTTCTTTACATTATTGCTATCCCTGTGATTAGGACTTTGCAGATATTGTTATTGTGAGCCAAGTAACCAGATCCTGGATTTTTTCTAGTACAATTTGTATTTTTCTCAGAGCAAATTGCCTTGTTTCTTTTTTTGCCTGGCTTTATGTGTGTGTCACTATTTTTTTTTTTTTTTTCAAATTCTCTAATTGGACTATTTTTAAAGCCTTATAACACCAGCTTTCATTTCAATTAATCTATTTTGACTGTCAAAGTACTCTTCCAAAAATGATTTTTTTTTTTTTTTCAAATTCTCTAACATTGCCGTCAGTTGCCTATCAATATTTTCTACATGATCAAACATACTAGCTCCTTACTTTTCTTTGGAGACGTCTTTCCTGTAGTCCTCACGTCTTGTGTTCTTAGACACTGTTCTCTCACTCTGCTGTAAGATAATGTTCTAGGATTTGCCTTTTATAATTATCCTGGCACTTGGATCACCATTTTCATGTTAGTTTTCCAGTTTCTTAATATAATACCTTCTCTTTTTTCTAATTTACTGTCTAGTTTTTTTGTTGTTGTTNTGAGAAAATATATTCTCTAGTTTTGACGGAAAATGTAGCCCTAAGAAAAGCCACATTGGAAATACTTTTATTATTCCCTGCAGATCTAAAATTGTCTTGATTTAATCTCCATAGTGGTTTAGTAATTTGATTGGATATAGAATTTTAGGTCAGAAATCGGTTTCCTTTATAGTATTAAAGGAATTGCTTTCTTTTTTTCTTATTTCAAATGATGCTATTGAGAAGTCTATTGCCATTGTGATTCCTGAAAACTTAGGTGATCTTTGTTTTCTTCCTGGAAGCTTTTAGAAGTGTTTATTTTTGTTTTCCTCTGATGTTGTGAATTACTCCATGTATTACAAGACGTGTTTGAAAGTCCCTCCCATTTTCCCCTCTCTTGGGACTTATAAAGGGGGAGGGGGAAGAAACTCACTAATAGAGCTGAATGCTTACTATTTCTTATCACTGGAAAAGTGCAGTCTATTTGTACATCCCTTGTACACAGGATATATATATCTTCTGATATGATAGGATCCACCTCCTTTAATTTGCTTACTCTGGCCTTTCTTGCAGAGGCTTCTGTTACCTCTACCACCATCTTTGTCATTTTTCCTTTCATTGTGAAAGCATATTTGTTGTTTCAGGGGTCAGTGATGTTCAGGGATGTGTCCATAGACTTCTCTCAAGAGGAATGGGAATACCTGGACTCTGGTCAGATGAATTTATACAAAGAAGTGATGTTAGAGAATTTCAGCAACCTGGTTTCAGTGGGTAAGGATAACTATCCCCCAAAATTCAGAGTCTGCCCTTGGAAAATCTCTCCTTTCTCCATTGTGAATTATTTGCTTCATGTAACCAGCTGAATTTCTGCTCCCTGTTCCCCAAGGAATGGTTTGAGTTGGAATGGAATGGAAGAGTTGGAAGTGGGCAGCTCTAATGGACTGTGGCTGAAACTTCATCTTCTCCATCTTTCTCTGGTCCTTGTAATGGCATCTCTTCTTTGATCACCAAGAGACTGGATCTGATATCTGGAGAACCCAAAGTATAACCATGTCTCATGTCTTTTCTTGTGAGCAGGACTTTCCAGTTCTAAGCCAGCTATGATCTCCTTATTGGAACAAGGAAGAGAGCCCTGGCTGGTTGACAGAGAGTTGACTAGAGGCCTATGTTCAGGTAAGTAAGAGATGATGGCTCAGGCGCAGGGCTATGAGGAGATATACATCTGAGATTTTATCAAGAAGTTCTCTTTAAAGGCCTGAGGCCTCTTCCATATAAGCTATCCTACCTTTTTGTCCTTATACTTTCTCCCTAGTCCGATATAGCAAGTACCTTCCTGACTGTAATTATGCTATAATTATTTTACTCACATTTTAGGTTTCATTCCTTCTATGATATGCTACATTTAGACTGGTATGAAAGTAGACATTTCCACCCTAAGAAATAGATGAGTGTAAGTGTGTGTGTGTTTGTGTGTGTATGTGTGTGTCTTTTCTTTTTCCTTCCCTATACTTGTTTTCATTTTATCTGCTTTCAATTATGTAATATCTTTGACCAGTTCATATTGGATTTAATAGTTCTTTCTTTCATTTATCAAACATTTGATTACTTTTTACTTTAAAAAAAATTGAAGTATAACGACTATGATTGCATAGCATGGTGAAATTGAGAATGGTGAAACCACTACTCAGGACAAGAAATAGAACATTACTAGCACCTCAGAACCCCTTTTCTGCTCCTTCCCAACCACCAGCCTCTTTTTCCTCTCCCAAAATAAATACCGTCCTGACATTTAGCACCATGGATTTGTTTTGCCTATTGTTGAACTTTATATAGATGCAATCACACAGTATTTAGTCTTTTGTCTTTGGCTTTTTTTGTTCAACATTATGTTTATGAGACATATCTATGATGTTGCACATATCTGGTGTTAGTTCATTATTATTGGCTATGCTGTATTTCATTCTATGAATATATATATATATATATACACATACCCATATATCAGTTTTTTTTTTTTATTTTTTGAGATAGAGTCTTGCTCTGTTGCCCAGGCTGGAGTGCAGTGGTGTGATCTCGGCTCACTGCAACCTCCATCTCTCAGATTCAAGCAATTCTCCAGTCTCAGCCTCCCGAGTAGCTGGGACTACAGGCCTGCGCCACCATGCCCAGCAAATTTTTTGTATTTTTAGTAGAGACAGGGCTTCACCATGTTGCCCAGGCTGGTCTCAAACTCCTGACCTCGGGTGATCCACGCACCTTGGCCTCTCAATGTGCTGGGATTACAGGCATGAGCTACCACAGCCTGCTTCATTCTATGAATATGTTTTAAATTATGCTTTATATATTATTAATTACCGTAAATTAAGTGTCTTTTCTACTGTTGACAGCTGGTTGTTGGCAGTTTTTAGCTATTACATATAATGCTGCTGTGAAGGTTCCTGTATGTGACTTGGTAAATGTGTGTACACATTTCTTTTGGGTATGTACATAGGAGTGGAATTACTGAGCAATAGGATATGTGTGTGTTCAGCTGTAGTAAATATACCAATTTTCCAAAGTAGTTGTACTGCTAAGTTGCTAGTTCTACCAGCAGCATGAAAGTTGCTATTGCTCTGCATTCTTACATTCTTACCAGTTCTTATTATTGCCCAACCTGTTAATTTTAGTTAAATTTTAGTTATTCTGATATGTGTGTTCTGTGACATGCCTGTTTAAGTTTCTTGGCTAAACTTAGTTGGTCGTCTTTTTTTTTTTTAATTGCTTTGAAAGAATTCTTTTTATATTCTATATATTAGCTCTGTGTTTGGTTATACAGGATGTAAATATCTCCCACCACTTTATATCTTGCCTTTTATTCTTTTAATGGTGTCTTTTGATGAACAGAAATTATTAATTTTAATGTGGTCACACTTACTTTTTCTTTATAGTGTTGCTTTTTTGAGTCCTGGGTAGGAATGATTGCCTACCCAAAGGTCATGAAGATATTTCCTATGTTATATTCTATTAGCTTTATTGTTTTACTTTTTCCATTTAGATCTAGTTTCCTGAAGTTGGTATTTGTATGTGTTGTGAGGTAGGGGTCAAATTTCATTTTTTTTCCATGTGAATATCCAGTTGACTTCTTAGTATTTATTAAGATGACTGTCCTCTTCCCATTCTCTGTAGGACTACCTTTGTCATAAATCATGTGTCTGTGAGTCTCTCTGATTTCTGTTCCTTTGGCTTATTTGTCTATCCTTGTGCCAGTACCACACTATATTAATATTGTGGCATGTAATAAATCTTATCTAGTAGAGCAAGTTCTCCTGCTGCTTCTTAGTCCTTTGCATTTTCATTATAAATTTTTGGATTAGGCTGGTCACAGTGGCTCACACCTATAATCCTAGCACTTTGGGAGGCCAAGGGGGATGGATATCTGAGGTCAGGAGTTAGAGACCAGCCTGGGCAACAACATGGTGAAACCCCGTCTCTACTAAAAATACAAAAATTAGCTGGGATTGGTGGCAGGTGCCTGTAATCCCAGCTGCTGGGGAGGCTGATGCAGGAGAATCGCTTGAACCTGGGAGGCAAGGTTGCAGTGAGCCAAGATTGTGCCCTTGCACTCCTGTGTAAGGCTCTTGGGCCCCACAGGGTCATGGGGTGTCCCTTATGCTCTGCTGAGGTGCAGGATCCGAGAAGTAAAGAGACAGGACACTGAAGAACTGGTGAAGAGCAGCTGGACTCAGGGGGCCATGCAACCTGTGAGCAGAGATCAGCGAGAGCCCCAAATTCCCAGAAGCATCTGTATTTATTAGGTACAAGCAGGGGACAGGGTTGTGAGTGAGGTCATCATCTATAGGCTTAGTAATAGGGCATACATAATCTCGTGAGTTACAAGCAAGGGGGCCACCCCATTATGTCACCTGGGCAGAGAGGTGGGCCATGCGCAGTAGGGGGCTGTGCCATGCATGGTAGTAGAGGGTCGTGTACAGAAAAGGGGTCCACCCCCATTAGGTCACCAAGGCAGGGAGTTGGGCTGTGTGCAACAGGTGTCGTGTGCAACACTTATCTGGGGACTGGCGACGTCAAAGGATTTCTCATAGAAGGATGCTATAAGCCAGTGCAGTGGGAGCTGACAGACTTGTGCTCTTCTCTTAAGATATTTATGGGAGGATGATTTGAGCTAGCACAGAAGTGAGAAAAGACTGACAGGGTGCACAGCCTCTGTGACTGGTCACGCCAGAGGGGTTCTTCTCCCTCAGTTATTTCCAGGATCTCAGGCATGAGGCCTACTTTCCATAGGAACTGAATGCAAGGTACTACAACTCCTTTATCAGGAGGAGAGGGTCTTGCTCCAAGTCTGCCATACAGCTTATGCCCTTTCAGGCAGGGACGCCACTGCCTGGGTCTTTGGTTCTTGTCCTGGTCTGGCTGTTTTCCCATGTACTGCTTCTGTTCTGTGACTGCTCTAGGCATTCCTCCTACTACAAACTACTATATTGGTTATTTGGAAGGATTATATAAATCAGCACTAAATATGTCAGTATAGCTCTGACTACAATACCTATATGATTATATAGAAAGATTATATAGAACTAAGTATGCTAGATAGAAGTATTAAGTATGATTATATAAGCTAGATATATGTAAGCAATAAGTTATACTTCAGGCACTAATTCTATAAACTAATATATGATTATATATAAAAGATTATATAAAGGAAATAGCTGAGTAATAACACTATAAACTAAGATATTCTTCAGGCACTAGTTGTGCCTGGGGTCTGGACAGTTCTCCTTCCTTGGTGCCGATAGGGGGTGTTACCCACACTTCCCTGGGGGACAAGAGCAAAACTTTGTCTTAAAAAAAAAAATTAGAATTAGCTTATATAGAGTTATTTAAAACTTAATCAAAATGCCAAGTTATATTTTTCATTAGCATATTACTATTAGTTTATGGAGAATTAAGATTTTTAAATAACAAGTCTTGTAAAAATGTTTGACTCTAATTTTGTATAGTAGTCTGCTAGGTGCTGTATAGTTTATAAAATATGTAGGCTTATTAAGAAACATCATCTAATGTAGGAGCTGGGACATTGCTGTAAATAATTTCTTTTTTTATTTTTTTTATTTTTTTTATTTATTTTTTTTTTGAGACGGAGTTTCGCTCTTGTTACCCAGGCTGGAGTGCAATGGCGCGATCTCAGCTCACCACAACCTCCGCCTCCTGGGTTCAGGCAATTCTCCTGCCTCAGCCTCCTGAGTAGCTGGGATTACAGGCACGCGCCACCATGCCCAGCTAATTTTTTGTAGTTTTAGTAGAGACGGGGTTTCACCATGTTGACCAGGATGGTCTCGATCTCTTGACCTCGTGATCCACCCGCCTCGGCCTCCCAAAGTGCTGGGATTACAGGCTTGAGCCACCGCGCCCGGCTGTAAATAATTTCTACAAAGTAGATTCATCAATGAGAAGATCAAATAAGAAGCTCAGAAGAAAGTTGTAAAACAGTCAAAAATATGGAAGTAGAAATTGATCCAAGTAGAAGTTAATGGTTGGAGCCCTAGAAGTACATGTTGTTACCTATGGAGTTAGTGTTGGAAATAGAAGATCCATGCCTCCCTTGAGAAATAATTCTAGATTTAACAAAGCTGTAGGAACCTAGGCAGGAGTTTGTGAATCTTCACTTCTTCCCAGCTATCAACTGATCTTAGCTGCCTTTACGTATTTTATTTCTGTCTCTCCTACCACTTTTCCTCCATACCAACTTGCTAATTTGTCCTCTTCTTAATCTTACCTTAACCTTGTACCTTTCTGCTTGAAAGGTGGTCTCTGTTTATTCCTTTTTCATTTTAAAATAATTAATTTAATTTTCATTAAAGTAATATATTTTGAAATCATAGTATTATCAAAAGATATCAAAATAGTACAAACTACAATACAAATGAAATTTGTATGTCCTGTTACCTACATAACTTTTGAATAGTATGTTTTGTCATTTTGTGATACATCAAACTGTAAAAGTATTTCTTGATGCCTTGTTCTAATAGTTGAGGGTTGGTCTCTGATAATCACCATATATATCCTGAATATAGCAGTATTTGTGTGTTTGAAATCATAGTATTATAAAGCTTATATTGAAAAACAGCAGCCCAAGCCAGGCGTGGTGGCTCACACCTGTAATCCCAGCACTTTGG